TGATTTGGTAGAAACTGCCTAGAGGGTTATCCCAAACTATACCCGTTATAGTTTATTAGAGTTGATATAGAGCTGCTTTGTAAAACCTTTCTGAAAGCTATGAAGTTAGATTTCCAAAATAGTAGTTCCCGTTATGCTCAACATATTACAAAAAGAGATAAAATATCTGAATATGTTATTAAACGTGGAAATCGTTGGACTGCATTAATAAGTTTAAAACTTAATAAAATACTTTGAATTTGGCTTGTATTCCCCCCTGAAAACATGAAAAACTTGGAAAAAGCGTAGGGGTATGAACTCACCTCGGGTGATTTGAATGAAGGATCGACACGAAACGCTGGATGTTCAAGTGAAGTCTTGAACACGATTTGACCCTAAATTACATGCAATGACACATAAAGGAGTCAAATGGAGGTATTTCACCACTAAATGTGATGGAGAACCACTCTAGGAACTTGGGACTACTTGCACTAAGTGTTAGAACCTTGAAGGATTGCATGAGGGGAGTGTATAGCCACCTTTAAGGTGTGTGCGGCCATGGGTGTGCGGCCCAATGGATGTGCGGTCGTACACTCATGATGAGAGGTGTTCTTGTGGTGTTTTGAAGGCCAACACTTGCATCCATGAAGTGTTCTTGGTCCATACTTAGTTGTAGTACAAGTTTAGGGTCTTAGGAGTGAGTTTATGGTCCTAGAATGAGTGTGTGGTCGTACACTTGGGTGTGCTGTCGCACACTTGGAGTGTGTTGCCGCACAAGGGTGTGTGCGGCCGTACACAGGTGTGTGCGGTCGTACACCCCACACAAAGATGTCCAAAACGTCAAATCTAGGGTGTAGCAAGGCTAGGTTCATGTCCAACTCGAATATGGAAGTCCAACTCTCACTTTGGAGGGTCCTTTAGGAGTGTGCGGCCAACCTTATGAAGGTGTGCGACCGCACTCCTTCAAGAGATGAAGAACATGATGAAATTTGATGAATCAAGGCGTAGATGAAGTGGTTCTTCAAGTATAACAAGCTAAGGAATGGATTACTCACGTTTTGAAGCCTTGGGAGGGTTTACGGTTGAAGAGTCTTGAGAGAAAAGGTGTTGTGTGTTGCCAAGGTGTTAAAGGAATGAAAGGAAAGGGGTTTACCCTTTATATAGGGGTGGGTGTGCTGTCAACAAGTGAGTGTGCGGCCGCACACCCATGTGTACGGCCGTACACTCCCCCTAGGGGTGTGTATGGCCTGATTTTGTCACTCTATGGCTTGCTGACTCGTTCCTAAACTCAACCTTGGTCATACTCGATCTTAAAATCACTTAAACGAACCCTCAAACAGTGCAAGAAGTCAACATATCCAGTTTCACTTAGATTGAATTGACTAAGTGTGCGAGATAAAAGTTCCGGGTTGTCACAGCGTTCTTCCGATCTTTAGTTTCAGGTTTGCGATTTTGTGCTTCTAAAGGTATCACCTTGGAAGGGTGTCACCAGGTTCCGGAAGCGAGTCAGGTTGGGCTCCAGATATACCGGTCCATTCAGAGTGGTTGCTTAGGTAGGCAAGGTTGGAAGTGCTTGGCTGATGATTTTGCAGTGGTTCTGTTAGATGATATCCATATCAACAAGCGCCTCAATTATGTGGAGCGATCGATTGTTATTCTTGGTAGGAAGACAAAGACCTAGTTAAAGTGTAATGACAACACCGTAGAGGTTCTGAGTGGACTTAGGAACCCGAGGAGGAAATGAGGAAGCATTACCCCGAGTTATTTGTGACAACGAATTTCAAGCATGAAATCTGATTCAAGTGGGGGGGGGGATTATAACACTTGATTCTTCATGTATAATTCTTGTACTTTTCATTTTATGGTTTTGATATTTTTCCCATCACAACAACATGGTAGGAATGGGACCACGACGTAGTGGTCATTTAATCACCACGACGTGGTGGTATTCTTATCAGGACGTGATGGTGGTTGGGGAGAAAAAACAACCCTAGATATCGGGCCTTAGGCCCTATTTAAGGGATGCGATGGCTAGTGTTTTGTCCACCCTCATCCTCCATCACCTCCACGTGTAAAGAATCAAAATCTAGCCTCCTTTCAAGCATTTTGATCTCATTTTGGTGCTTTTGTGGCCTTCAAAGGAAGAAGTGAGGTTTTCTAGTGCAAGGATTCAGTAAGCATGAATGTTTGTATAATCCCTAATGATGCTAAGAAGCTTTTGGAAAATATGAATATTTGGCTTAACGGATTAAGAGCTTGGAAAAGAGATGGATTTACGAGCGTCACACGACGTGGAAAGGGTCTTGCCACGACGTGATGGGAAAACCCATCGTGATTTTAATGAAGCTAGACCACGACGTGGCAAGGGAATCGTCACGACGTGGTAGCGGGTTTCATCCACGACTGCTTTGTCATGTGGTGCCACGACGTGGTCAATGGTTGGCCACATCATGGTGGCTGACCGTTGACTTTGACTGTTGACCGTTGACTTTTTTACCGTGGTTGACTTTTGGTCAAATTGTTAATTTTAGTTAGTAGACTAAGGCTTGGCCTTTTGTGATTCATTAGGCAGTGTGTAGTACCAGCTTCCCAACTTTGTGAGTTGTGATCTAGTCTACTCTGATTAGCAATGTGAGTCTTCTCACTATACTACATAGAATGCTAAATTATCTTTGTGACTCTTGCATGTATGTTGGACGGGGCCCGTTATCTATGTTGAGCGGGGGCACGTTATGTATGTTGGGCGGAGTCCGTATTGGTATGTGGTATTATGGGGAATTCGTTAGGCTTCGTACTTACAGTTTAATGTTTATTTGTTTTAAGGTCTTTCTGGTAGCAATGGGAAAGAGTCGACTTCATTGCATTGTATCTGCCGATGATTTCCGCATCTTATGATTTTGGGATTACTCCGATGTGCTTTTTATGAAAACTATAACGTTATATTTTGGGATATTTAATTGGGAAATCTCTGATAAAGTCCTAATATTTTGGATCAGTTTACTGTTTAATCCCAACATTTATTTTGTGAACAAAAAAAATCCTCATTATCTAATTTTATACGATAATTTGTCATTTTCTGTTGAAAAATAAGGACTATTTCGTTAATTTTGGCAAAATATAAAACAATCGAGACTTTTTTGTTCAAACAATCAAAAGTTGAGACTAAACCGTAAACTGACCCAAAATATTAAAACTTTATCGGAGATTTCCTTATTTAATTTTATAAATGTTATGGAATGGTTTTAATTACTTTAAAAACAATTTTTTTTGGTATTTTTGGAGTGTTACACATGAACATGAACAATGACATAATCATACTGACAAAAAAAAATATGTCGAACTACACATTCCAGACATAACCATACTGATAAAATTTGCCCTTACAAATATTTAACCGACAAATGACCCATTTCAGACGATACATTAATTTCAGATATTTCGGACTATACATTTTGTGCATTTCATACTAAAGATTTTCTCACATTTACAACCAAACGTTAATTAAAAAACCACCCTTATAAATGTTTTGATTCGGTGTTTAATTCATTTTGTAATTTTGTGCTTGTATTATAATATTATTTTTAATTGATTTTGTAATTTCATGACATTCTAATATATTCATTATTCGTATCCATTTGAAGATATTTGTAAGATAGCTTATTAAAAATAATATATAAATTGTAATTATATACTTTGGAATAAATTAATCTATACGTTAGATATAATAAAAGTAAAAAAAAGTATTCAATAATAAAAGATATAAAAAAAAAATAAGATAAAAGTTGAAGGACTAGCATTGTAGAATATAAAGAGTTAGAAATAAAATATATTCAGATTGTTATTGAGAGCATCCACGGGGTGAGTTTAATGGGATGATTGAATGAGATGGCAAGTCTAGTTGTCATTCAATGAATGAAACTCTATTATAATGAGATGTCATCTTGACATTCAATGGATTTGGAGTTCAATTGTCATTGAACTCTTCAATGGGAAAAAAGAAAGTTTTTTAATCTTAAATACATATTACAGATTAGCTTTTATAACTTTCTATTGAACTTTGTAGAGTTCAATACATTGTAGAAAAAAAAATTAATTGAGTTGTATGGAATGTAGAAAAATAATGTGTCAATTCACTGAATTCTATGGAGTTCAATGCATTATGGATGTGCTGAGACGGAATGAAGAAAATGGTTGGATATTCTCTCAAACCAAATTATTTCTACAAACATTTTATAAAACTAACCTATTTCTACAATACCTTTTAAAACAAGCCTATCAATGTTTTTTATTTTCGGGTTTTCGTAAATATTCTTGGGCACTTGAATTTGTGTTTCTTTGTTAGGTTTACTGGAACGCCTGAAAGGTCTTTGAGGATATACCTGCTATTGCTTTGTGTTCTTTACATAGATTGCTTAAGATTGGTGGATGTCTTAAACTTTAAGGACTTCTTGATATTCTTGTCAGCTTTTAATCCTAAAGCAAACATGCCTCACATAATTGAACGTAAGTCTCACACCTTATTCTGATCAAAGCAAGCGATGATCTTGAACCAAACTGACCACTTCAACATCACTTTTCATCATCCGCAACTGTTTTCAGCAACCCAGAATTGCAGCCAAGTTGTGAGTAACGACAAGCACTAGGAATATTTACACTTGATCACGAACATTTGGTTCTATTTGTAAATTGGCAATCTTCTAAAGTCTAAACCAAATGTCTTATGACACTTTACGCTTCCCTATGCTCTCTGTATCAGATGTGTTTTTCTATGTTTCGTCTTTTTGCTCAAATTTTGAACTTCGGTCCCGCTAATTATACATGTATGCATCCAAACTTTGCCTCAAATTCTGCTCTACTTTTTGTCCAAGCTTTCTAACATAAAGATGGCGCCGATTTCTTCTGCCATGTGAAACAAATCGACTTCTGCCACCTTTCTTGTCACTGTTCGTTCTGCATCTTCTTAAGCAAATTCATGAATCAAATTAATTAAAGCCACGATCTGTAGAAGTGAAGTGATCAAAATGAACTCGGAAAGCAAAAGAAAGTTTCATCAGTATGTTGAGGTGGAGGAAGTGGGGCAACTTAAGAAACGAGTAGCACATCTGGAAGAAGAAACACACGTGATGATGCAAGAAATGTCCCAAAACACAGCAGAAAGGAAATCATTGTTGAAGGACATATATCGACAACTGAAACTCATACAGTTCTCTTGTCACCAAAAATACCAAAACACGGAGTACAAGTTTTGTATGGTAAGATATATATATATATATATATATATATATATATATATATATATATATATATATATATATATATAGTTATATCTTTTTTGCTCCATGGACACCACAGCGTAGTCATGGTTTCTGTGTTTGAACTTTTGTCAATGGCAGCAACAGGAAGGAGGGAGGGCAGATGGATTGTCTCAAGTTTTATATGAAGATTTGAATCCAACGGTGGTGATTAGAGGTGGTTCAACAACACATTCAATGGCGACTCCAAGTGAACATGCAAAAAGTACAATGTCAAACATCTTATGCATAGAGTATAATAATTGAAAGAGCAATAGATGAGAACATTTTATCACTTGTGTAATGTTTGATAGGGTAGAATCTAGGAAAGGAAGGAAAGGATTGGTTCGTTACATTATAATATTGAAAAACAATATGTTTGTTTGTCTTATGTTATTTCTTCCATTTTATCAAGGGATGTGTTTCTAGCTATACTATTATTTTTCAACATCTTTCAATATTTTCATTATCTTACCATTTTAACTTCTGAAAATAACAAAATATATGGCAATATACATAAAAGTCACCATATTTTGGGCATTTTTGCGATTTAGCTAATAGAGTATGTTTTATTTCAGTCGATAAAAGCCGCTCATTTTTAAAGAAGTTTCCATCGCAAGTTTGCAACCCTCCATTTCCAGTTTAACAAGTGTTAAAACTGACAAATTTCTGAAATGGCTTCTTCATTTACTTACATGGTATTTTATAGAGTACATATAATGTCATATAGGTAAAGAAAAAGTCATGTTAGTTTTAACATGGGATCAAGGTGATCACAGTGAAAAAAAAAAATGAACAATTTTCATTTACCGAAAAAAAATATGGTGGATAAACCACAAAAAGGTCAAAATAGAGTTTTATATATATTGCCCAATTTGATGACAAATAATAAATAAGGTAAAGTTAAAACCATGCATAGTTGATACGTATACGAATGAAACTTTACATGAAAGTTATTTCATTCGCACAAACCAACAAAAATAATTATGGAATATAATTAGTTATTTCATTATATTTTTTATTCTGTTAATTGTCCATTTCATTTCTTTGTCATTTCACTCTATTCAACCAAACAAACTCTAATTCTTTAACAGAATAGAGTCCATCTTTGTCAAGAGTATTATATAAAACAGGGTAAATGGTACACGTGGCATGTTGTTAGATATGTTCATTTCATTGGCAACTCAACAACTCTAAAAGCAATAGAGTTCCATTAAATCTAATTACCTCAGACACGAAACTTGGCTGCATCCATTAATGAGAAGCAGGAGCAAATTTTAAGTTTTGATCATCAAGAGAAACAGAGAAACTCACATGATCAATATAGGTAGACCATAACAACATCCAATTTAGTTATATCACCAATTTACATATAAACCCCCTAAAGGTTCATAAATTATACAAATGCCCAATAAATTATTTTATGCACATAGCTTTCCTTATTCACAACTGTCACTAGTTTTGTGGCATTGAAAACAGTTGTCGAGGTGCATGTTCTTGCATAAATGGGATGTCAAAATGGTCATTTTGATGTTTTCAAACTCAGCCTAGTCAACCGGGACCTCAACCTCCATCTTCAATCCAGGATGGTCAAGAATCTGAAGCAACAAACCAAGAGAACCATATGAGTGAGAATAAAATTAAATGACCATTTTACCCTTATGTTTATAAGTAGTGCAGAGTAAAAAATGACTATGAAGTGTCTGAATGAGGAGAAATGACCGTTTTACCCTTCTGTCTATAAGTAGTGCTGAATGAAAAGCGACTAAGAACTGTCTGAATGAGGATAAATGACAATTATACCCTTCTGTCTAAAAGTAATGTTGAATAAAAAACAACTACGAACGTTCTGAATTAGGAGAAATGACCGTTTTACCCTTCTGTCTAAAAGTAGTGCTGACTAAATAAACAACTATGAACTGTCTGAACGAGGAGAAATGACCATTTTACCCTTCTGGCTAGAAGTAGTGCAGACTAAGAAATGACTATGATGTGTCTGAACGAGACTAAAGAAAAGACTGTATTTCATAAAATAGAGAAGGGTGAGGGGTAAAACCGTAAAACAGACCTTAACAAAGTCATCCACCAGCAGAGAAGAATCTTTACTGTAGCCAGCTTCCTGCATGACTTTGATCAAAACTTCCTGAAAAAATTAAGATGAGATTATGAAAACTTGTTGCAGGGTGAGAATATTTCTTTTAAAAAATAGTAAAAATGGAATATAAATTATGCCTCTCTTTGCTTATCTGACATGAAAGAGCCACTCAAATCCCGCAAAACCTCCATTATGTCATTAAAAGTCACCTTACCATTATAATCTGAGTCGTATACTTTGAAGATAACTGTAAGATTATGTGTTTACAAGTGTTAGATCATATCAAAAGGTTCCCCTAAAAACCTCAAGTAACAGAAAACTATACAGATTTTAGTTTCTTTAACCATAAAAAGATGATACTACTTAAATCTTTAGATCAGATGGGAAATTAAGTTTAAAAACGAAGAACTTAACCAGATTGTTTCTTAGTTTCAATCAATCTAAGAATTACAAGATCCCTAAATATATGATTGTGATTAAGCTTACGTTCAATCTTCTGAAGCATGCTTGCTTTAGGATTAAAAGCTGACAAGAATATCACAAAGTCCTTAAAGTTCAAACCATCCACCATCTTAAGCAATCTCTGTAAAGAACCAAAAAGCAAAAGGCAGGCATATCGTCAAACACCTTGTAGGCATCCCAATAGATCAATAATATTGAAACAGAGTTATAAAGCCGAAGAATTATAAAAAAAAAATCTAAAAATGAAAAAAGAAAAGAATTTTACCTGAGACAGAGGATTCACTGCAAACTCTGGTACTGATAAAAACTCATCGGCAGAAATAAAACCCTTGGCAGTGCGATCAAGTTGGCAAAATCTCTGATACAAAGAAACTATCTCTTGCTGGGAAACTGAATTCAAACAAGTATACAGTGAGTTGAGATAAAATCATCAAGTGTGTGCGTGGCTGCATTAAAGATTTACTTACATAGATGATTACAGTGTTCTTGAACGTCTTCAATATCATATTGAGTTAGAGTAGAAGATGCACTACCCATTTGTCTTCAACGTCCAAAGTAAAGTATCAATCGTTTCTAGTGAAATTAACAAAAACCCACTAATCGGTTGGTTAAATTGATAAAGTTGATTGATTTATAAGACAGATCGAAGAGAAAAAGTAGGAAAGAGACCTGGAATTCCGAGGAAATTGAGATGATGCCTTTAACAGTGATGAAGATAGGAATACGATAGAATTATGGAAGAAAAATGGGGGTATTAAACGATGGGATTGTCGTTGTCTTAATCGAAGTTTGTTTGGTTTTTGAGATGACGGGAAAACTGAGGTAATATCCCGTCCCTAGTTCCCTATAATTCTTAGCTTCTAGCTGTGAGTGGGAGTGGTCACAACCAAACCAGCCAACTCAACGTCACGAGGTATTTTACCATTCCACAACCAACCCACTAGGTTGTGGAAATGGTGTTCACCCAAACCAACGTCACGAGGATTTACACCCACTCCCCTTATCTTTTGCTATTTTGGCTGTTTTGCATTTAATATGGGGAAAAGTATAAAAATATCATGCATCTTATCATTTTCATTTATTCGTTTTTTACATTACTTTTTTTTAATACTTTCTTCTATGGCGAGTAAAATTAGGGTTAATCACAAAAATTACAGATTGTATCGTAAAAATTACAGATTCTGTTTTTTTTTTTAATATCACCATCTAATCCAAAAATATATATATATATATATATATATATATATCAAGATTTTTTTTTTTTTTAATTTGACAATCTAATCCAAAAAAATTATTTCAGACCCAAGATATGGTATTTAGCCGTTAGGTGGTTCCCTTTATTCGTACAAGTTATGAAATAAAGTAACCACAATATCCTAAAACGATATTTTGACTTCTTTTTAGGATTTTATTAGGGACGAGCTATTGAATTTCACTCGCGGGAGATTACGTGTACCAAGCTAGTCACAAGTTTTTAGTGTTCACATTTTGAAGTTAAAAATACATAAAAATAGGTTTTTTTTATGTGTTTTGTAGGGGATAGATTATACTTGTTGTGTTTACTTTTATGATTTTTGTAAAAAACCAATAACTGAAATGAAAATCCAACTCTAAAATGCGATGAAGATTTTTTAATTTTATTGATTTCAGAATGTGTTTTGTAATAGTTAGGTTATACTAGTCATATTTACTTTTGTAGTCAGGTATTGTTTTTGTAGTAGTGTTTTTCATACTCTGAAATATGTCAAAATAATTCGGAATTCAAAGAACTATTCCAAATCAGGAAGTTGTACGTGTTCTCTAACTTCTTCTTCCCCTCTGGAAGAAGGCTATGATGGTGTAACGATGATTTGGCATGGAAGTTGTTAGAAAAGTAACTTACACATAAAAATATAATAGTCATCTTACAAGAACCTTAAAAAAAAATAGAAAAGTATTATGTAAGTGATATGTTATATACATCTATTTTACTCACAATTAAATTTGTCGGCTATTTCATTACGAACTAATTAATATTCTTATATATAGAGAAAAGCAACACATAGAAATACCCTTTATGTGGAAGATTAAGGCGTTGATGAAAGAGAACCATATGTAGAACCACCAAAAACAAAGCTACATTTAAGAGATCAAAGAGAGTGCTAAACTCAAACTGTTGTTAGGTCTCGAAATTTAATAGGTCTTGTGTCTTAGTCTTTTGCGAAAACTTTAACTGTAATACTTTGTATTCATAATAATGTTTGTTCTGAATGTAATGTTAGTTTCGGAATTGATCACCTTAATTTTCGAAGTGCTATACTTAACAGTTTGTATCTTTTGTCACGACTTAGGTGTCATAACCTTATTGGTTATTCTCTAACCGACTCCCTTATAGTTCACCTATAAATAGGGATGATAGTTAGAAGGTAGAGTAAGTTTTTTGCTAGTTCTTACACTTTGCATTGTAATTAAGCTTCCTATTCTAATTGAGTGAAAGAGAAAAATGATTTACATCTTGATCTTACATTTTCATTGTTACTTGATATTCATTATTTCTTAGTAATTAAACTAGTTAATTGATCCTATAATTGGTATTAGAGTAGGAATCATTGAGTTCTATTCAAATCGTTGAATTCAATTTTGTTCATCAAGTTTTTCGTTCATCTTCATTAATTTTTCTTGATCTATTCTGCATTTGCAAATTCCTTGTACTTTGATCTAGAAATCTTCG